GCTCACACACACGCTCACACACGCAGTCCTATGAGAGAGACTCACTTTGAATGTATGAGAGAAACACACTTTGTGGTATCCTCACAGTAAGGGCACATCATGACAGTAAGCTGCTGAGTTGTAATGTTTTATTGACAGGTGGGATATTTTGATGCTTTATTGATCTCTTTTCTCTCTGTGCCCGACCACAGGGGGGTCAGTGGTGGGAGGTTAGACTGACACTTCAATAGGTGGATTCTGCCAACATAAAAGATTCAACCCAATCTACAGTTGAAGGATGGTCTCCAACTATCCCTTTCTCAATATAAATGTGTAAATGTTCTGCAGTCTTTACAGACATTTCTCTTCCTTGCTCAACAATGCAGTGTTTTGTGACACAACTGCAAAGCCTCTATAGCTATTAGTCAACTTGTCAACAGGGAAAGATTAAACAGAATTAGGACAGCAAGAATAATAATAGTCAATTCAGACTAAGCTGTGTTGACCGATGTGTTTGTGTGTTTGTCATTTAAGAGTTTAACAAAGCAGTATCCTGTGAGAGGAGGCGATGAAGGAGGAGGGGCTGCAAAGAGCTAATACAGATGTGTACATTGAGGTGTTTCTGCCTTCTTACCCGCCGTGACACAGTGGCATTGGTCCTCTCTTTGAGCTGAGGGTCTGTGGGAAGGCTGTTCCACACGATGAAGGGGGTGTCGTACTTGTCCCGCAGCTTCGGACAGCTCTTAAACAGGAAGTCTATGATGAAGAACTTGATACCGGCGTACAGGCCTGGAGAGGAGAGAGGGCAAGGAAGGGGGAAAACAAGCACAGTCAAAGGAAAAGGAGAGAAAAAAATGGACATGGAAGGACAGGTTATCCTATTCACCTACAATAATCTTACTTTTCAAGGACTTCCATTTCAGATGTTTGTATTTTTCAAATTCAGATTAATTCACATGATTCCCTTTTAATAGCCTTGACGTTTCAATATTTTTCAGTCAGACACGTTGAATAGATCAGAAGTTTTCTGTGGGTATTCATACAGCCGGTGTTTGCTGGTATTCTTTACTAACAGAAACCAGCCTTGAGGCATGTTGCACATATAACAGCAGATAAGGTCAAATGGGGAGTGAGTGTGCAAACAAAGTCAGTTCTCTAAACTAACTTGTGATAGCCAAGAACAACACATGAATACCAGGGAGAGTTACTAAACACCAAAAATTCTGGATGCGGTAGCCAAAAATGACTTTAAATGCTTTTGTTACTCTAATGCCTGCACACCTTTTATTTATACAGCTCTGATCCTGCTTGATGAAACAATGTTGTTTTGCAGCCCCTGTCCACAGACCACAAAACTGGTGTGAGCAAGTTTTATGGTGTTTTTTACGTGTTAAATTATTTTTGCTATAAGCCTCTTCCAAGGATATAGGAGCCTACAGCGCTTAGGAGCCACTTTGTGTAGAAGGAATAGGAGTAACCAATATTATCAGAAAGGCATACCAACAGCCTGCAGCTGCCCCTCACAGCTAGAGGGAGAACGGTTACACAAGTGCTGTATGAATGCATTTGTTTGTGTGCGCTGAATTGACTGTTAAGTATTTGCATTCTTTCAAGGGCCAATGCAGGGTGAAGAGTACGTCAGAAGGATAAAGAAGCTTTGTCTGTGTGCTTGTATGTCTCTCACCCATCATGAAGCCCATTAGTTTATATGGCAGGACGCAGGAGGTTATGAAAGCCACCCACAGGCAGATGTAAAGTTTCCGGGTGCTCTCTGGCTGCACCCACATGAACAGGCTGACAGATGAATGCGCGCAGACACAGAGGAGAGAGAAAAGAAATAAAATATAAGCCAATAGGACTCATTTTAAGTTTTTGAATACTTGACCACAGTATTTAATAAAATACAACAATGTCTTTTTACTCACTTCTTTATCTTCTCCAAAACATCTGCCATCTTACCAAACAGGTTCTGTAAGGAGAGTTTAAGCACTGTATGAACCAGTACCATTTCATTAACTGTGTACACTGATTTGAGAAGTAACATGAGTTGTCTTGTACCTGTGCTTTTTGTGCAACATCAAGTACCAGCTGGAACTTTTCAGATACAGTCAAGTCTTCCTTTGGAGGCTCCTGTGTAAAACAAAGACAAACATTACTAGGACTTTACCACCACTGACACACGATACATGACACATGTTTTCTTTCTGACAGACAGAAACAAGAAGCAGTGAAGTAATCTTACCATGGGTTCAGAGACCTCAGGCACAATGCTCCACTGGATCCTCCAACCTCTGGAAGAAGATGCGAATAATGTACATTTTTTATGAGGAATTTTGTTTGGATGAACTTAGCCCACCAAAATATTCTTCTATCTCTAAAGTTTGTGCCTCTGACAGCTTTGGAACCTTCATCACTTTAGAGGGGACCAGGTGTCCCAGTTTGATAGTCCAAGTCCAGACAGATGTCTGACAATTACTAATGTGTCCTCATTTCATAATGACCACCAAAATGCCCCACTTTAAATATTTTTTGTATTTGGCTGTTTGCAGTATGCAACATACAGGAGTTTACCTTGGTAGTTAGGTTTAATAGGTTTTTATTACACAAAGAACACAGAGGACTGGCAGCAGTATAGTGGCCATACAGTAAAAACTGCCACAGTGGCTGCTTTTCTAATATCTGTATCCACTGAGGAGAAACGTGTTTACCTGGCGATGAGGTAATTTAAGGACAAGCGCAGGATAGCCAGGAAGAGTAACATGGGAATGGCCCAGCCATGCCAAGCAGCATTCATGTAGATCTGCAGGCAAAAGGGACATAGGACAGTTCAACATTTCGTTTATTGATTGAGGCAATCAAATCATAATTTACTGACTAAAGTCAGATGAATTCAAATATTTAAATAGTTTCAGTCCATTATGCAGTTGAACTGTCAGTATTTGAATTCAGTGAGCTGATGCAATGACTCATTTGTAACTGCAGCTTATCCACAGAAACTTCCTCATTTATATAGTTTTACAACACAAGTATTCCCTTAGCTGTCACTTTTACATCTTACTGGTATACCCTTCATAAAAACTGTTACAAAGCTTTATTTGACAGACTCTGACTGTGGGACTTTATGTATGAGAGCTAGACACACTGATCATAAAATGAACATAAAGATTCCCTTTAATGATGAATAAAAACTGACTTGAAGTGTATAGTTTTGGGTGATGAACTGCTGGTGGATAATGCTATTAGAGTCACCCGTCAACACTAGAGCGGGATCATCTCTAGATACTGAGATGGCCTTGGCGTGTATGGCTACAATCAATGGGTTGAAGATGATTTAGCTTAATTACTGACTGTGGACATTAAGGAAGATCTGATTAGACCTCTGTGGTCTTTGGCAGAACCACTGTAATCGGTCACTGTGGAGCAGAAATTACCATGCCATTCTTTTCATTTCACTGTCATGTACAGCCAAATGGGTTCATCAGTCAATTTATAGATCACACTTTTTTGTCCATTAAAGCTTAAACTAAACTTAACATAGCTTTGTGTCACTCATAGAAGAATCTAAGTCATAGTTATACTGTATGACTGAAAAATTATTCATAGACACAGCATAAAGTTCAACATAATAAAGTAATGTGTTAGAAATTATGAATAAGGAAAGGGCACACTCACAATGAAGGCAATAGCTGAGGTGTAGACGGAGTGCCAATTAGATAAGGCGGAGAGGTTCCTTAAGAAGTTGGTGACAGGTCTGGCTCCTCGCTCTAAAAAGAATAGAGGGGTAATATGAAAAGCACTTAAATTGTAGAGTGAGTATTTGTGTTTTTCTAGATGACATTTCTTAATGTAAGAGTTTAATTAAAAATCACGTACAGAAGCCAGAGGTACTGGAACACGTACAGTAGCCATAGTCATGGGTGGTCAACATTTTATTACTACAGCTTTTTGTGGTAGCTACTGAGCTGCAAACAACTGCTCCAAAAATGAATGTTGTACTAATAACAGAGTTAGTATTTTAACTGTGCGTCTATAATAGTTCTTTTTCTTTGTGTGCGTTTGAATACTCACTGAGTCGCCTCATATTTTCTGTTAACCTGGATGGAAAACACAGAAAAGTGAAGGTCAGAACACACGCACAAGCTTACGTATAAACATAGAAAAAGCTGGTTTATGTGGTAGAGGAGGTGCTGACACCTTAGCCTTTATCTGCCCGACATGACTCACTTGCCTTTACAAAGGGGAGAAAGAAGGAACAGAGAAAATAAAGCTAGAGAAGAGCTCTCAACTTCCTCTGTACTCTCTCTGCAATTTACAGCCTGATCTGAACCCATCTCATCTAGCAACGAACATGAACTGCAACTGAATAGTTCAAAGAAACAGTGAGTCAGCAATAGCGCATTGGTAGCACATGTTAAAAGGCACACAGAAGAGAATGATTGGGATTTTTAACTATAGTGCACATTCAAGGTCTAAAATATGATTCTCTACTTCTAATAAAAATAAGTCCTGACACAATCTAGGACTGCTGTTGGGCTGCACACCTTTAGTACTCCCCAGCTGCCGTCTAGCTGTCTGACTCCACATCTCCTTGAACAACCGCAGAATCAATACCTGAGGACAGACACTTCATGTTGTATTCCAGAGCAGCGCTCACCCACCTTTTAGCACTTAGCGGTTCCTCGGCCTCCACGGTGCTTTCCTCTGGCTGGAAACGGAAGTCTTCGATGTAAACCCCGAAGCGCTCATATACCCACTTTTGCAGCCGTGAACTCCAGACCTCCTTCTGCTGTTTATCTGCTGAAGGGAACGAAAAAATAACATCTTGATAAATTCACTAAATTGTATCAGTCTCAGACAACTTGTGTTGTTTCACCATAGTCACACATGTTTTGATTCCCTCCACCAATGACAATCTGTTATTCATATAAGAAGACTGTGATTTATCTCATGAGTAATTAGTATGGCTTGTGTTGCAACATTGGGCCTTCTAAAGATATTTTTGGGGCTTTATATGCCTTTATTTAATAGGACAGGTGAAGACAAGAAAGAGGGCATGACATGCAGCAAAGGGCTGCAGGTTGGAATCGAACGCACGCTCTACCAGGTTAACTACCCTGCGCTCCTAAAGACATTATAAGGTTAGCTGGGGACACACTTTTTTAACTGAGGCCTCAGTAGCATTAGCTTATGCTAGCTAACAGCCTATGCTATATGTCCTACGGCTGACAGAATTTGCTGTCAGCTGTCACTTCAGCTGACAGAATCCATGAGGACCCATTTCTTTTCAATAATGAGGCAAAATTACAGCGCTAATGCTGAAGTGCCCCTGAGCAAAGAACACTTACCTCGGTTGCTCTGGTGTAACTGCTAAGTACACACTAATTGACACTAATTGACTGTGGTTGTACTGAACAACTACCCTCAGTGACTGTGAGTGACTGCATGAAATGTGAGGCTGAAAAACGCAGACTGGGTGTGTGTGTTTATCCCCTCAGTGAAATTTTACTATGCAATTATGGCAAAATGAAAGCAGGGTCATTCTTTCTGCTGCAAATTTATTATGAACACCAGCATTTTTCTTCTGATGACATTCTGTTAGAAGCCATTATTTTGAATCTGTAGTTTACAGTTACCACAGTCACATCAGCCCAAAATGCTCTGTTCATCCTCTCTCCCTTACCTAACAGATTATACTCACTTTCTCTCTGTGCTTTTATCCACACAAACACAAACACACACACACTGTCCATAATCCATCCTGAAAAGCGATTGACACCCAGACCCACAACCGATCCTAGTTTGAGCACAGGCATGTCTGCCCTAGATGATGATCTACAATCATAACCCATTTTCCAAAATTAGCCCCTCTGTCTCTCCCTCCCTTTCTCTCTCTAAAACCAGACAGACACACACACACACACACACGGTCATTGGAAGTCAAACTATGACAAAAACTACACACACACTTTTATGGCACTGACATCAGCACATCTGTAGTAATGACTGCGATTAACCTCCACAGTAGAATAGTTTTTCATGAATTAATGCAGTTTGTTATTGATTGCTTGCTCTTGATACAACTAATTGCACACCGTAAACCACCATGTAAGTGTGTGTTTTCTGTTGTTGCACACATGCTACACACTGTTGTATGTCCTAGAATAACCCAAGAACACTTCTGACACACACTGTCCCCGTCAACGCTCCGCCACACACATCCTACATCCCCACCTCCCCTACACACATACACACACAGTCCTCTTGATTTACTCCCACTCACGGAAGACGTCAAAGTCTTCCTCCACAACTCATTTCCTGCTAGCCCCCCCAGACTACCACCCACCACCCTCTTTCTCTTCCTCCGGGTCTTACCTGTTCCATTGTTTGAGGGCGACTGCTGTTTCCGGGGAGGCTGTGGTGGAGAGTCCTCCAGCCTGGGGGGGCAGAGAGAGAGAGAGA